GCCCGCCCGGTGTCGCCGGTCGGTTGGTGCCGGTGCCCGGTTCTGTGGGTCCAAAGGATGCTGTAGAGCAGCCCGTTCCCTTTTGTACGCTGTTCAAGAGGGGAGGGCGTGAGCCAGCATCTCCTTTGTAAGCCATCCCGCTTCAAGGTGAAGGTGAGGCGTGGAGGCTTCTTCAAAAGACGCGTTTCAAAAATGAGCTGCGTGGCTTCGGCTACCAAGCTTTATAATTTATATCTTTTTCTTAATGGAAGTTTTTTAATCCCGTCCAGCCAGCTGAACAAATATGTACAGGCAGAGCAGAGTGAGCGATTCCATGTGCTGAAACTCTATGATCGCGTTTATGCGACTCTGGTAGCTGTTTCTGCACGCACACACCCTTATTGCTGTGAGAAGAGGACGAGAGCACTTTTTCCTGCTCGGGACGTTAGAGGGGAGGAACGCCTTTAAAGGTGAAATTTCTCCGTGGGTGAACATTAAGAAGTAGTCAGTTTATCAGAGTGGTGGTGCAGAAAGCAGTGGTATAGAAGTGGTGGTTTAATACGTTGTATGTTCTGTTTTATTATTTTGAAGGTAATGTGTGTCTAGAAATATATTTTACTCTCCCTGTTTCTCCTACTACCTTGCCTTGTTCTAGGTAGTCAAGCCGCATACTCCATTAATTAAGTTCCCGGACAGAAAGAGTAGTCCAAGACCTAAAAGTAAGTTATTTAATCTCTAGGTACAACTTGCGCCACCTTTCTTTGCATTGTTTTATTTAAGAACCAGTACACAGTTTTTCTGCTTCAACTACATGACTGATTTTGAGCAGGGTTTCTGAAGCATGCTTGTTCTAATTTGAAGGCAACTCTTTGACTCTTCCTTTACAGATGCTATACAACTGTGGGAATAGACGTAATACATGCATGTCTTCATTTCTGGGTCAAGGCAGATTCCTGAAGATTTCCAGTGTCATTTTTCTACTTGTATATAAAGTCCCATTTTTCCAAAGTTGCTTGAAATGATTGTGCCCAAGTCAGTTTGAAGCAGTCTTAGGTATTCGGTGATATTTGCAGAAATTATGTTGATGATGTGTTTACCTCATCTCTTTTCTCAGTTGGAGTGTGTGATGTCTGTGGTATTTAAAACCCTGATTACAGCTGGGAGACCCATCCCACTGTACATTTTAAGAAGTGTTTCCTTGTGCTGCTAATTAATGCTGAGAAAAAATTAATTTCATTGCGATCTTTGACATTAATTTTTATACCTATAACTATGTTGATATTTATAGGACTCACAATACTGTTACATTTAGACATCAAAGTTACGTGAGTGATATGTTGGTTTAATATTCCTTTTGAGTCAAGAAAGCATTTGAAACTGAGGTAGGAGACATCTTAAGAAGCTCTGTTATGTTATTCTCACTTGTTTAGAAATTATTCTGTACCATGTTATTTGCCACAGCATTATCATGTTTGTGATTTAGAATTCTGTATGTTATGTACAGTTCAGCCAAATCTACCACCTCTCATGCCAGCAAACTGCTTTCTCAAAGGCTTGAAAATGTGTTACCTCATTAGCTCTGCATCCTAAGATTTTTGTGACTGTATCTTTTGAGTATGTTAGACTTTTCTACCTTAATCAGGATCTGTCAGCTGATTAGTAAATTGCAATCTACCTCACCTTGCTTGAATGCTGTAGCAATAACTGTGTTTCGCTGTACCAGACTGGTGCTTCTACGTAGCAAACCAGAGCTCTGCAGATCAAGACTATGCTTTTAGGGACATGGGTGCTTGAAAGGGCAGCCAAATTCTTTTACTGTATTACTACAGCAACATGATGGTCTCAAAGAGGGAAGGGAAAAATTTAGAGACTGTATCTGAGCTAAAGCAACAGCAGTATTAAGTCTGGTACTTTTGAGTCCTGACTTCTGATGTTTTTAATTGGCTAATGCATCTACTCCAGGTACACTTCAGACTTTGAAACATGCAGTGGAGGAAAATGCTTGACAAATCTCTAGACATTTTTGTGATGTATGAAACAAACTCAGAAAAACTGTTTCTTGATTTTTCATATATAAGATGTGTTATTTCTTGAAACAAAAATACTTTGTAGTAATTACCTGCCAAAACTATTCCAGCTGTGTGTTGTTAGAAAGTTGACAAACAGCTATTTCTTCTGTTTTCATCCTGTGTTCCTTCTGTCTCCTGCTCTTAAATTTTAAAATTTCAGCTTAATGGCATGCCCCCTCTTCAGAATATGCTCCTTCTGATGGTCTCTCTTCTTCCTCACTGTTTGGGACCTTCCATTGTTCCTGAACCACCTGATCAACTTGGGACTTTCGGATACAGTCTTCTGACTGAGAGCTGCTGAATGTGCCTCTCAATGGTGGCTTTTTTTTTTTTTTAAACCAATGGTGGTTTGATCACATTGCTGCAGGTGTTTGATCTCCCAATCCTGCTATTGACTCAGACTCACTGTGGCTAAAACTGGCTCCTCTCCTTTGTCCTCATTGATCTTGTTGCAGGCAGGAGGGAGAGAGGCAGGCAATGCTGTGGTATTTTAACTCCTTGCCTTCTTTGACTCATCCAGTCTTAGTGCTGCTTATTTAATGTAGTCCCTCTGTCCCAGCTGTTCAGGTGTTGCATTTGTCTTGCTCATTTTTCAGGAGCATTGAAAGGGGCTTCCTGTGGAAGCATTCTGCTTTATCAGGTGTTTTAACCTTATATATAGAGGTCTGCGTGCTTACGAAGTAAACAAATTGCTGTGGGACTGCGTCCTGCCTGGTGAGGTAATTGCGTACTTCCATTGTAAAATCAGCCATGGTGGGACAGGCTAAGATTCAGCATGCTGACACTGACAACAGTGCCCTTTTGTTATCTGCTTCCCTTCCTCAAACTTAAGGAGCCTTCTCTAATGTGAATGCCTTAAGTCTAGCTCCTGGCCCTCGCCTGTGAAGTACTTCCTGCACTCGTTGGTCTCTGCATTTTGCTAACATTGGTTACTGGTGCCCGATAGTTGGTGGTCATTCTGCACATCATTAACAAAATTTGATATGCTGCTACTTTGTAATATTACAAATGGGTACAACGCTGCATTGCACGTTATGGTATGTTAATAGTTGGGAGCTTTATCTTTCTGTAAGCCTCTACCTCTTTTTCACTTGTCTGTCTTTACAGTCACAGTAAACAAAAAGCAGCATCTCAGTGGATCTTAGTTAATTATGTTACTTATCTTTCTACATAATTGCCTACACACACACACAATTTGGATATTTCATGCTTTTTCTCTAAGTACAGCTTCCCAGTGAAAAAGTCTTTGTTAGGATGTACACTCATTTATCTTCTGTTTCCATATCGGTGTTTCTGCCACTCAAACATGCTTTCTTTCACTGTCTGAATTTTTTCACTGTTTTTAACAACAATAAAAACAGGTTGTGAGAAGTAGAGTGTCTTAATTCTTTGAAGTATTTGTTATAATGAAGAAAATAATCAATAACTGGTAACTTTTATTGGGTGCTCATTAATTAATTTTAAAGCCTTGCTGTATCTCTGTAAATGGTTTTGCAATCTGGGTTTCAGTACAGGAATCTCTACAAGCAAGTGTGCCATCTCTCCATGCTTCAAAAGCACAGGGGTCTGCAGGAGGCAGATCACTGGCATTTCAAAATATTTCTGCTGTTAGTAGAGTACAAGGTACACCAGACACTTCCGAACTAGCAAGAACCTTACCTCAGAAATACAGAAGGAAACTTATGTCAGATGAAGAGATTGAATATATTCAAGTAAGTTTCATGTGTTGGTGTGTATTGTCTGTATCTACCTAGCATGTAGCTTATTTCTGCACCTACTTCAAAGTTTCAAATCTGGTATCTGTAATTCTCGGTAAGGATGCGATCCCAGCTTTCATGGCTTTGATGCCCAATACGCAAACTACAAATTCTTAATACACAAGGTACCCAACTCTCACTAATTAGTAGCTTGTGGTGTCCCTGAGTGGAGACATACGGACTTAAAAAAGACATGCAGATGGCTGTCGATAGGCATAGCCAACGTTAATCCCCGTCCCTACCTGTTTTGTAACAGCTGTTTAATGTGTAATGTGAATGGGCTGGACAGGAGCACAGGAGTCTGCTTTCAGACCAGCAAAGGCTATTTTCAGGTGACTGAAGTCCAAAATATTTCTCAAACTAGTTTTTATAAGTTATTTATTAGTAAGTTAACTCTTGTATTTCTAGTAGTGGAAATATTTTATTAAACTTGATACAAATATCTTCTTCAATATTTGCAAATATGGCATTGTACACGAAAGGCAAGAAAAATCTGTTTTTGTTCCGTAACAATTCTCATTTGCCATCACTGATGCTTAAAAAGGGAGAATGCACAAAATTTTAAGAACTTGTGCACACAATACGTGTGAGTTCAAAATGAAAAGACACTTGCACAGCTTTGTTAAATAAGGACACCTACAGTGTAATCATGTTAGTAGAAGACATCCGTTTTCCTGCATATATATGGTAAGGGTATTACAATTAGAAATAAAATTAGTTATTTCCCATAGTAACACATTTCTTGACCTCTAGCATAAATTTTCTAATGGTGAGTTGTAAAATAATTTTGTTGGCAAATAATGAATAACTTTCTGGTTTCTCATATAGATTGTAATGCCTCACCTTGATTTTGTTTTTACTTTGGAATTTGGGCAGTGAAAAATATTCTAAAACTGGTGTTCACTGCTGCTGTGTTTGTCAGACCTTTCTAAAGTGAGTTACAGGTCAGATTTCTTCAGAGTGAGAGAAGCGGAAGCAGCTGTAACTGTAGGTTGCAGGTGTCATTCTTTTTGTATTCTCTCCTGGAAAAAATGGAGCTGATACTGGTAGATGCTGATATTTGACACTCTGTGCATGTTCTTTTATAGATTAAAAATCAATGTATAAATCAGAAATTAAATCTAGAACTTTGTTAGTCTGTAACAGTTTAAAAGATTTGATCTTCTTTTCCTCCTTTTTTAGTGGAATGTATTTAACTGTCTGCTTTTCTTTTACAGCGTGGAGGTCCAGAATAAGTATGGACGGTAGTTCGTTGGCCACCATTGAGGAATGAAGCGTTGTATTCACAATAAAGGGATTTCCTTAATTAAATAATTGTATACTAATAGCTTTAATAAAAACCCATACGAAGGGTGAGAAGTTTGACACAACATACCGTATATTAATTTGTGATTGAGAAGGATTTTCTGTTGATGGCTAACCGGCAATTGAATATACACGATGTCCACAGCATTAAAATATTTTTCTGATTAGCCATTTGCAAACTTGACAATATAACTGAGTTACTTTCATTTTCTACTTGAAAAGATGAATTTGTCTCCTCAGGGATGATTTTATGGGCAGGAAAGGGCCGCTGAAGTATTCTCAGAGATGGCTGAGGCACTGTGGTTGTTCTCAACAGTTACACAGCTTTGGTCGCGCAGTTGCGTAGCAGCCGTTTTCCCTGAATATCAGATCTGAGGTTGGGAGAAAACTCAAAACAGGTTCTTCTGGTGTAATTTAAACTGTTAACTGTTTGAGCAGACAGCCCTTCGGGTCCAATTACAGTTCTGGATGTCATCTCTGAGCATGTGGAGGAGAAGGTTATCGGGGTGGTGAGCATGGATTCACCGAGGGGAAATCGTGCCTGACCAATCTGATAGCCTTCTATGATGGCATGGCATGGCTGGCTGTTGGATGAGAGGAGAGCAGTGGATGTTGTCTACCTTGACTTCAGCAAGGCTGTTGACACCGTCTCCCGTAACATCCTCATAAGCAAGCTTAGGAAGTGTGGGTTGGGTGAGTGGACAGTGAGGTGGGTTGAGAACTGGCTGAATGGCAGGTCTCAGAGGGTTGTGATAAGCAGTGCAGGGTCTGGTTGGAGGCCTGTAGCTAGTGTGTGCCCCAGGGGTCAGTACTGGGTCCAGTCTTTTCAACATGTTCATCAATGACCTGGATGAGGGGACAGAGTGCACCCTTTGCTGTGCAAGTTTGCTGAGGATACTGAGCTGGAGGAGCGGCCGATACACCGGAAGGCTCTAGGTGATCCTGCTCTAGCGGAGGTCCCTTCCGGCCCCTGCCGTTCTGCGATTCT